TTGTGTCCAGGGTCCTGAGCACTGCCCGGCTGTGGTCTTTCCTTGTGTCCAGGGTCCTGAGCACTGCCCGGCTGTGGTCTTTCCTTGTGTCCAGGATCCTGAGAACTGCCCGGCTGTGGTCTTTCCTTGTGTCCAGGGTCCTGGGCACTGCCCGGCTGTGGTCTTTCCTTGTGTCCAGGACCCTGAGCACTGCCCAGCTGTGGTCTTTCCTTGTGTCCAGAACCCTGAGCACTGCCCAGCTCTGGTCTTTCCTTGTGTCCAGGGCCCTGAGTACCACCTGGCTGTAGCACTGTGGGTCTGGTGACATTTCCTGTGGCCATTGCTTCTCCAGAGGCATTAGTGCCTGCACTGGGTATCTCATCAGATGAGGACTGTCTGTCCTTGTCCAAATCACCACTGATGTTTTTCTCATCAATCCTTGGGGGCAAAATGGACTCCACCACGGGCCTTCTGCCCTCTTCCTGCCCACACAGAATGCTCTTGTTTGTTGTAGTAGACTCCTCAGGCCTTGTACAGCCCTGTGTTAGGGCCAGCATGAAGGAGGACAGCTCCAGCTGGACAGCTCTCGGTCTCGAGTGGCTTTTTGGTGGGGTGGGGTGGGCGGGTGAGGCCTCGCTGAGAGATGCTGGTGTTTCATTTGTTTCAGTCGATGGATGGGTCTTCCAACTGGACTCCGCACTCTGCCCTGAGACACTGTGGCGATTCCTGAGGCCCAGTGGGGTACCCTTCCCACAAGGGCTTTCAGAAGGTGCTGGCTCTAGGCCCGTCTGCGGGATGTCACGGTCTGCATGAGCTGCTTCTCTGGGGTCCCCCTGTGGTCCTTGCTCTTTGGCAGCACCGAGGATCTCTGGTGTAGATGTCCCCTGGTACTGGTGGCCCTCCTTGTCCTCAGCTCCAGGAGCAAGTGCTGCCGGAATCCTTTCAATCACATTCTCCCCTCCAGAGACATAGGAGCCCTTGAGCTTGTGACCAGATGCCCTTGGCGGTAGAAGGAGAGGGGCTGGCATCTTGTGGACAACGGGAAGCTGTGTGGTTGTCTGTGCAGGCTCAATGGCAGGCTGCGCTTGCTGCGCGGCCTGGTCTGCTCCAGGGTCCAGTGGGGGAATCCATGCTGTTGCCTCCTGTTCTGGAAGGTGCCACTGCATGGCGAAGAGGGGCTGGCTCTCCGCATCTGTGGGTGCTCTGTCTGCCTCATCTTCAGAACTGCACATGGTCATGGTAATTTCAGGGGCCTCTCCTGCATCCTGGCCGTGGCTTGCCAACCCCTGTGTCTTGTTCCCAGCAGCTGGCGCTGCAGCATCCCCAGGGCTGGCTGAAGAAGACAGCACGGGCACAGGGCCAGGAAGGGCTTTGCCCTGGAGGGAGATGCAGCAAGAGCCTGGCGGGGGGCCACACTCCGAGCTGGGAGCCATGAGGCCGAAGCTATGTGTGTCTGCCTGGGGCTCGGAGATGGTCGCAGATTCTAATTGTCCTATGGGTTCCCCGTTCAGGGGCGCCGTCCTGTCCCCCGAAGTGGAGGACATGCTGGTCTCTCTCTGGGGATGCCGCCTGGAATCTAAGTGACTGATTTTCGCACAATGAGACTGCCAACTCTGGGGGCCACAGACGATGGTGGCAATGCTGAGGGCGGGCAGGGGCTCGGCGGTGCAGGCCAGAAAGCGGAGCGGGGGTGTCCTGGTGAAGCTGGGGGCCATGGTGGCTGTGTGTAGTACTCGCACCTGCGGCCTGTGCACCTTCTTCCTCTGCTGGCTCCTGCTTTTCCGCCCCGCCCTGTGCAGTGGTAGTACACTGGCCTCGGAGTGCAGGCAGCTGCTCTGCTCAAACTTCTCCTTCAGCTTGGACAGGATGGAGCTCCTGCCCACAATCCTTGGCAGGAGGCCTCTAATAGATCCAGGCTGCTGCGCAGAGGGCTTGTCCCCTGTGTCTTTCTCCTTTTCATCCACAGCCAACAACTTCTTTACGATGTTTTTCACAATGCTCTTCCCGCCAGGGGGACCCCAGCGAGGCTTCTCGCTAGGTAGGGGTCTATGGCCAGGGCTGCTGGCTCCCTCCTTGGTCTTCTCCATGAGTCTGTTGATGGTGGCACTTACGAGGCTCCTGCCAGGGCCCTGCTTGTCCTTGGAGATCAGCCGGCCCACCTCCCGGGTCCTCTTGAGGTAGGGCTCTCGGCCAGTGCCCATGAACTTGGCCTGCAGAAGCTGGAAACGTGTAGGCCGTCGGCTGGCCTCTTGGGACGGGGGTGTTCTGCCTGCGCCGTGCGCCCTGTCCTCGGGCCTTGGGGGCCCATCTGCACACTCGGACACATACAGGAGGAGGCTGCTGAGGAGCGCCCGGGCCCCCTCGTCGCACGTCCGGCTCAGCTTCTTTCTCAGCGTTGGAGCATCAAGAGGCATCTTACTGTTGCCAGTCCTGCTGCTCTTTGCACTGTGGGGGTGGGGGAATGGTGGTGATATATTTTATCATTTCTCCAAGATACCTCTCTAGAACACCTCTGATGGGGTGGTCCCATGTTCTCCGGGCCCCAAGAACCCATGGGAAGAGCACAGGATGGGGTAAGGCTGCCACTGCCATCCTTCTCAGGATGCCTGGGTGTGCAAAATGTCCCAGCCCAGCAAAAACTCTGGGCTCTGCTCCCAGAGGCTCTGAAAGGTTTACACTTTTTAGTTGTGTGTCTAAGCCTTGGAGAACCATATATAAGGCTTTTTCAAATAAAAGGATATGGGGTTGGGAAGGTGGCTTTGTGATAGAGTGCTTGCCTCGCATGCATGAAGCCCTGGTTTTGATCCCTCAGTACCACATAAGCAGAAAAAGCCAGAAGTGGTGCTGTGGCTCAAGTGGTAGAGTGCTAGCCTTGAGCAAAAGAAGCTCAGGGACAGTGCCTAGGTCCAGAGTTCAAGCCCCAAGACTGGCAAAAAAAATTTTTTTGCATAAAAGGATATATTTTGTTGGTATCATAGGCAAAAAAATCAAGCATAAAAATGTATATTCTCTGTGTGTCCTATGAGTATGTCAGACCAAGAAGATCAAATAAACACTATCTAAGTAGGAAAGATAAAATTAACATTACACTATTTTCAAACATAAGACTCAGGGTCACAGGCCCAGGGACAAAGATCTGAGGACAGCTGCAAACCCCCAGGCTCTGGATAGCTGAAGGACCAGAGTGAGCTCTATCTGGCTCCTGGGCAGAAAGTGGTTGGCCCTCCAGAAGCAGCTACAGTGTGAAGGGAAGCTGGGTGCCAGCTGGGCCCCAAGGAAGTCCTCAGCGGGAAGACACTTGGGAAGGGTTTTCTTCCACAGCCTGGGCTTTGCTTTGCTCTGCAAAGCATCAGACTAAGAAGTCCTGCTCTTGGAACATACTAGACAACAAATAGGACTGGAACCAGAATTTTGGCACTGCCAAGGCACCTGAAGTTATTCATTCTGGGACGATGACTACAGATATGGAATAGAGATTCATAGGCTAAAACGAATATCTTACAGTGCTATTTATAATATTAAAAAGACAGAGCTGGGTGTTGATGGCTCACTCCTGTAATCCCAGCTGCTCAGGAGGCTGAGATCTGAGGATTATGATTCTAAGCCAGCCCAGGCAGGAAAAGTCTGTGAGACCCTTATCTCCAATTAATCACCAGAACACCAGAAGTGGCTCTGTGTCTCAAAGTGGTAGAGCACTAGTATTGAATGAAAGAGCTCAGGGACAGTGCCCTAACTCTGGGTTTCAAGCTCCACAACCAACAAAAATAAGATGGGGGGGGGTGAAGGGATGGTTCAATAATAGAGCATCTGCCTCACAAGCATGAGACCTTGAGTTCAAACCTCAGCACAAGGGGCAAAAGTTGGGAGCACTGGGGCTTTAGATAAGGCTCATCTGTATGGTGGAGAGCTGCAGCACAGCAATCTGTGCAATAAAAACAAAAGCTGCAAAGCCACAGAAACTCTAGCCCAACTGTGAATAGCCTGGAAGGAAATGTGAACACATAATCTTCTGCATTTGAGAGAGAGAGAGAGAGAGAGAGAGACAGAGACAGAGACACAGAGAGAGAGACAGAGAGACAGAGAATTTTCAGAAGCTGCACACAGACGTCTTTCTTCAAAGCTGTCACAGAACTATCCCTGGTTGGGGAGCATGACAACCACCTGGTCACTGCTAGCTCTTCCAAACCCCCAGATGATCATAGGTGGTTTGTGTGCTATGTTCCTACAATGGGGTTCTGCATTGGAGCAGAGGGTCCACCTGTAACACAGGCTCCCCCCTCCTTTCCTGCCCGTCAGTGGGCTCATACAGAGCACTGGTGGCAAGAGGATCTAGGGAGCAGGAGCCCTTCTGCCATGTCCCTGGAGGCCTACAATATTGTGCAGACCCCATCCAAGCATCCCAAGGAGGTGGAGGCCTCTCCAAGCCTCAGACAACTGTGTGCTCCAAGACCGATGTGGGGGGCGGGGTCAGAATCTCACATAAGATCTACAGCCTCATGTAATGGTAACACCTCTGTACATCACCTTGATAACAACAAAATTAAGAAAGAACTATGGCCTGAGGACACCAAAGTCATGGCAGCTGTCAGACGGCTGGCGCATGGAAATGACGACTGCATAAAAACCTCTGAGAACTAGAAGCAGCTGTGCTGTCTCAGACCCAAACACCATGGCTCTGAGCAATCAGGATGCTGTCCTCATGGTGTACACCAGTTCCAAGGCCATCCCCAGACTGTCAGGCCACAGCCACCTACGCGTCCCCAGACGGTCAGACCACAGCCACCTATGTGTCCCCAGACTGTCAGGCCACAGCCGCCTATGTGTCCCCAGACTGTCAGACCACAGCCACCTACGTGTCCCCAGACTGTCAGACCATAGCCACCTACGCGTCCCCAGACTGTCAGACCATAGCCACCTA